TTCATTTTTTGGCAGCCCTAAAAGTTGACGGAAGAAATTTGTAGCTGGTTCTTGTTTTTACTTTAGCTGTTCTGTTCATTGAAACCTAACTTTTACTTAACTTGCGTGGTTGACCCAAAAACAAAATGTGTTCCGAGTGTCTACGTAACTTTAGTTGCCCTATAAATTGTATATTTATGGTTAAGAAACGGTTCTCTTGTTTAAATGGTAATTATTTATAGTGAATAATGAACATCATGCCGTTTCAATGTCTGATTCCATTTTATTTTATTTTTGAAATTCTTGTAGAGATGAAGGGTGCTGTTACTAGAAGTTGATGCCTTTGTAGTTTAGCTCAGAGGAGGAGAAGGATGGCTACAAAGTTCCTGTTTTTTTCAGTTTTATTCTGCACAGCTCTGTTCTTGCTAGCAAGTAGTGAACCATATGAGGACAAAGAAGCGCTTCTTGATTTCCTTAATAATGTTAATCATACCCGACAACTGAATTGGGATGAGAGAACTTCTGCTTGCAGTTCTTGGACTGGAGTCACTTGTAATCATGACAAATCAAGAATTATAGCAATTAGGTTGCCTGGAGTTGGATTCCGTGGTTTGATTCCTGGAAACACTCTTAGCCGCTTGTCTGATCTTCAGATCTTGAGTTTAAGGTCTAATAGTTTTAGTGGCAGTTTACCTTCTGATTTTGCAAACCTTGGAAATCTTACTTCTATTTATCTTCAATCCAATAACTTTCAAGGTCCATTGCCTGCTGATTTTTCTGCTTGGAAAAGCCTTTCGGTTTTGAATTTGTCAAATAATGATTTTAGTGGGAGTATACCTTCTTCAATATCGAACTTGACTCATTTGACTGCTCTGGTTCTTGCTAATAACTCGCTTTCTGGCAATATTCCTGATCTCAATCTCCCTAGTTTGCAAATATTAGATCTATCAAACAATAACTTCACTGGAAGTATCCCCAATTCTCTTCAAAGATTTCCTGGTTCAGCTTTTGCTGGTAACCGGCTTTCTCCTGCAAATTTTTCACCTTCATTTCCTCCAGTTCCTCCTCCAAGTGTCCTACCGAAAAAGAAATCGTTTAAACTCCGTGAACCTGCAATACTTGGGATTGTAATTGGAGGATGTGTTTTAGGTTTCTTGGTAGTAGCTGCAGTGCTGATTATGTGCTTTTCGAAGAAAGAGGGTAAAAGTGGGGCCACAGAGAAATCAATCAAGAAAGAAGATGTAGTCAGGAAGGGAGTTTCCAGCAGTCAGCATGGAGTAGGGAATCTCGCATTCTTTGAGGGTTGTAATCTTGCATTTGACCTTGAAGATCTGTTGAGAGCTTCAGCGGAAGTGCTTGGGAAGGGAACATTTGGCACTGCATATAAGGCAGCTTTGGAGGATTCTACCACAGTTGTGGTGAAGAGATTGAAGGAGAGTGTGGGAAGAAAAGATTTTGAGCAACAGATGGAGGTTGTTGGCAATATCAGGCATGAGAATGTGGCTCCACTGAGGGCATACTACTATTCCAAGGATGAGAAGCTCATGGTATATGATTTCTACAGCCAAGGGAGTGCATCTTTGATGCTGCATGGTATGTTAAGCACCCAATTTCTACTAATCTTGCTGTTTTATTCTTGACCGATCCATAGAGAACTGGTTATCAGGACCAAAAAGATAATGCAGATCATTTTTAGCTATGATGTGTCTTGTGCAGTAGTATTTGAAATTGCTTGTAGGCTAATTCCAACATAACCAATTACCTTTGAATTAGTAGAGTATCTGCTGTTGTTGTCCTCTTGATAGTTTTTTTAATCATCAATAGTTTATAGGACAGCATAAGTGTCTCGAAGCCATAACTACATGCCGCTTTAGGCCAATGTCTAAGTGCAACTTTTATTTTAATTTGTCAAAATTCAAGAACATCATGTTGCTCGCGAACTTTGCTTTGGTTTTATAGTCAACTTTCATCATTGTTAGGTGGATAGTCTCTTAACTGCACCTTCAAGTATTCCTATCATTATATCTGATGCACTCTGTAATTGCAGCAAAGAGGTCTGGTGATCGAATTCCTCTGGACTGGGAAACCCGACTACGCATTGCCATTGGTGCAGCTAGAGGCATTGCTCAAATACATGGACAGTCTGGGGGGAGGCTTGTCCACGGGAACATAAAATCCTCAAACGTATTCCTCAACTCCCAAGGTTTCGGTTGTATTTCTGATCTTGGCTTGGCAACTATAATGGGTCCAATTGCTACACCAATCGTGCGAGCTGCTGGTTATCAACCTCCAGAAGTTACAGATTCAAGAAAAGTATCTCAAGCCACTGATGTCTACAGCTTTGGTGTCCTAATACTTGAACTTCTCACTGGAAAGTCACCTACACATGCCACAGGTACAAGCGACATTGTCCACTTAGTCAGGTGGGTACATTCTGTCGTTCGTGAGGAGTGGACTGCTGAAGTATTCGACGTGGAGCTTTTGAGGTATCCAAATATAGAAGAAGAAATGGTAGAGATGTTACAAATAGGTTTGACTTGTGTATCCAGAATGCCAGAGCAGAGACCAAAAATGACAGAAGTAGTAAAGATGGTAGAGGGTGTTAGGAGAGTGAATACGGGGACTCGAACATCCACTGAAGCTTCTACACCAAACCTGACACCACCGATGACTGAAATAGGGTCGTCTTCCATTACACACTGATATTTCTTTGTTATTTAGTGATTAGTTACTGTTCTATATATGCTCAATTGTTTCATTGTTATAAGTTTTTTCCTCAGACTTCTATCAAACATTATTTCAGCTACAAAATTGAATAGAAATATTACTTGATCTTATATTTAAGATTATATCAGATAAGTAGTTCAACCATTTCATTAACTCTAGCTACTATAAGAGTAATTTTATGCTAATATCGAAGTGTTTGTGCTTCAAAGGCATTGATTATTTTCACCATTTTATCAGATAATGACTTATATAAACATTGGGTAATAGTTTTGATAATTCTAACCAAACAGGTAAAAAGTAGCAAGTACATTCGAATTGTAGCAGAATGAATTTGCACATGGTAGGTCAGACCTTAAATTGAAAGGTGCAAAAGCTTCGAATAGCTTGGTGCCTTCCAAATTAAGCGACCATGTATTACTATTATTCAAGATTTTGGTGTTTGGCCATAGATTCTAAATATAATTCGTTTTTTGGGAATTTATAGGGTTGAAGTTGAAGGTACAGTTGTGTTTGGTTATATTTTTAAAAAATATTTGGAACAATATTAATGCATGAATGTACTTAAGTACAACTTCAAAAGTGAAAAATGGATTATAAAACATGTTATAAGCTATTTTTCAAATTTGAAATTTTATGATCAAACAATGATTCAAGATTGCATCCAACTGTGGGACTCCATAACAAAGACATATAATTCATTTAGTTGTATTAATTATATTACATCAAATATCGAATATGGATATATAGAAAGAAAAAAGAAAGAAAAGATACTTGTATGTATCAATTATATCAACAGTATTTATCTAAGGATTGTATCAACAAACAATATTGTATCAGCTTTGTACATCAATTTATATATCAGTTTGGTTGTATGGAATACAACTTGCATTTCTGTATTTTTATATCACAAATGAATATAATCGATATAACTGTATTAACCTATATGTATTGAACTTTGTATTTATATATTACGAATGAATACATATGATACAACATGTATCACTATGTATTACTATAACATGTATGTATCAGCATGAATATTCTACATCTCTCCTGTCCAAAATCTTGCTCCCCTTTATCCTCTCTTAAATTGTTGCTATGAATTGTAATTAGACAAACTATAGTTATTTCTGAAAAAAATTCATATTTTTATTGATAAATGTTAGCTTTATTGGGCTAAAAATGAAGACATATAGGGAGTACCTAGCTGTTATGTATTGAATTATGCGGAAAAGATTGTGAAACAATAATGCAGATATTAAGAAACACTAAAATCATAAAGATAACCTTCATAATAGTAACACGCTTTTATTTTCCTTAAAAAATAAATATTTTTTTAAATTATACATTATAGTAATTCCTACATTACAATTTCAACATCATTAACCTCGTCTTTAATCTAATGGACGCATAGGTAGCAGTAATAAAGATGGCATTTCTTTCTCGAGCTTCTGCCAAATATTTGTTCACCTACCACATTGAATAGAGATGCTAAAATGTGTATTTGGTTTGGATTACCTGAGCTAAATGTCAATTCATTATCAGAATCTGGACTTATACAAAGAAACTAATTTTAGTACAATTAACAAATTGATTATTTTAATCAAAAGTCAAATACTAATCACATATTTTTATATAATCAGAAAATAATTTTGAGAATAGAAGCCAAACAGGCGGTATCAATTTGCACATGGTAGGAGCAGACTTCAAATGTATAATGCATTACAACATTTGCATATTAGTCATTGATGTGCCGTAAAGAAGGCTTCTATGTCCACAGCACTCTACCTGCTTTTCTCTTTTAAAATATCAACTTGCCTGCATTATTTACTACTATAACAAATGAGCTGTCTTATCACTGTAAATAATAGTATATAAAATCCACAATGGTTAAAGTCAATCTACCCTTAGGTGTAGAAACTTGATGTATAACTTTTGCGTTCCAACTATCAGACACAATCTCAATTTTATAAATTGGAATGTACAATATTACACAACACAGCCAGATAAGGAAGAGGAGAGCAACAAGCTATATAAACATAGACAGGGATAGCTAAAATGACGAAACAAGCTCATATGAGGAGAATCATAATACATTCTGTCGCTTTTTCCTTTTTTGTTCTTTGATAAGTAAATATTGATCACATTTCTACATGGAATGATACACCTGGCTCCCCACCCCGTTATTTGTTTTGATGAAGTGCAATACCGGCTCCCCCTTTCAAATAGCAAGACATGTTTGCAGGCATGGTAGTGAGCAGTTTGCATTCTTAGACCATTACACGCTAAGGGTAGTTCATTTGCGTGAGATTCTTGTTTTGACACCAGCTGAAATTGAAGGAGAAGAAAATAAACCAGCTCAGGGTAAGAGAATTTAGAAAATTGTCAAATCCAACCACTATCTGCAGAGAAAGAGTGTAAATAGAAAAAGTCGTGAGAAAAAACCACTACCAACCTTCAACTTGCTCAAATTGAACTTCTTTAACAAGCTCAGAAGTTGCATTGTACTCAAACCTGCACGATTAAGATAAGGAAACAATATAAACAATAGTATTAAGTATTTAAAAGGAAATGAAAATGACAAAAATATATCCAAGGTAGAGGAAGAGGAAAAGAAGCAGCATGTGTATAAAGACAATAGATAATCACGAGCAGCAAGCATTACATTAGTCCTAAATGCTACACTGATAGTCAAATGAAATATGCGTTAGTGAATTAAGTGTACATCATAATATTTAGCATCTTTTCAGATTGAAAAGGTATCAGTGACAAAAGGTTATACAAGTTCCTAGAGGTGATGCCATGAGAAAATAGCATGTTAGTCAACCTCTAATCATGTGTGACAACATAGCTCCAACCCTGCCCTAGCTACCCCATGCCCTTTTTCTTTTTGCTGTTTCTATAACTAGCAATTTCAATGTTTGGAATGGAAGGAGCAGAAGATGTTTCGATGGAATACCAACTCCAATTCTCCAAAACACTCCCTGAAAGCTAATGACTCTTAGGTTTATGTATTTGGAGCAACTTAGCTCCTGTAAACTCTCCTTACACCTTTTTGGATTTTGTTAACTCCATATCCTCAACTTAAGCCTCATTGTATGGAGCAACAAAATCTCTTTTGTACTTGCTATCTTTTGCAATATCTGAATTATTTGCATCTTCTTGATGCCATTAATGATAATGCTTACTTCATTACTAAAAAAAACAAGTAATTTCAACCTTCACATCACCTGTGACGATAAAAGAAAAGCATCACTTGCTTCTCAGATTTAAAATTCTTCGCCTGAATCAGCTTCGGCATCAATAACTCAATATTCTATCCAACATGTTATTAAAAAAATAAAAAAGGGTCTCCACCCCACAGTTTTTCTCAGAGGCCACAAAAAAAGTTTTACAAACATTAGGACAAAATGGAAGGTTTGACATCTAGAATCATCATGTTTGCCACATTTCAGCAGTTTACAAGTGATATACCAATCAGAATTGAGAGTATTCATATGACGGTAAGCAATTATAGTGAATCATTCTCAAGCCACAGTATTGCTAGGATATGAACAGGTCTGTCCTAAGGTTGAGACAGAAAATGCTCCAAGTCTTTATCTTTCTCTAATGTAGAAACTTTAACTGCATCAAACACGTGTCTTTAACAACAGTGCCCTAAGCATCTATGACAATAACTGGAGATGTGTGTTTAGTGCAGCTCAAAATTTATCAAGTTCAGACGTACAACTTAACAAACAATTTGGACTTAAAAACGATGAATAAGAAAATGACAATGAACTAATCAAATTACCTATTAGAAAAGAGAACATCAAGTTCATAGTCAGATTGACTCTTGGTAGCATCTACTAAGATTGTTACTATTTCTGTCTTCCGAGTACTGGCCATGAGCAGATCGTACTCAGTCGGAATGATAATTGCAAGGAAATTATCACTTAATTCACTCAGACAGAGCTTCTCAACAGCTGCCAGGGCAATCCGCCGTTTAAGTGCACCACTTTCTGGGTCTACAATGTAAATGGCGAAATCAGTTACAAGGAGAATGCGCCGCTTCATCTTCCCTGTGCTTGTAAACTTCAGAACTGTGTCAGCAAACAGAACCTTTTTGTCACCTGCAAAAGATAGACACATCAACATAGATTAGAATTTCTAGAGATAAGGGCTGTTCTCACCTGTACAAGAAAGTTTGTGCTTTATATTTGTTCAAGTGTATCTGTACAAGAAAATTTGTGCTTTATATTCGTTCAAACTCAAGTTCCCCTATTTGCTTGTCCATTAAAAAGAGTAACAACTCCAGATACACATTCAACACAACAATAGATGTTAAAGAGATTCAATAAGAGCTGTTCAGCAACCAAAAAAAATAATGAAGTATCTGAGTTTGCTTTCCGAAATACAAATTGTTAACAGAGAATATGTCTCTATATGCAGTACCTAAGAAGAGGTCACATCAAATTAAAGATAAAAAAGCACAAATTTAACACATTGAGAGTAGAAACCCTAAAAATTTAAAAAGAAAGGAAAGCTCAGAATACCTTGCTTTTCGAGAATCCTCATGAGATAAGGTCGAGAAGGCACATCAACATAGTCACCGATATAATCTCTATGAATAGAAGCTTTTCTACGGACTTTAACTCCCATAAAAGGCTCTTGATCTTCCGTGATGTTGCTATCGGAGGGCCTCAATTTCAAAGTCCCACCTACTTCGTCCTCGTCGGGAATCGCTTCTTCATCGAAACGAACCTTTTGTGCTTGAGTTCCTCCCCTATTTGATAGATAACGTGACATCGCCGGAGATGTTGAGGGGGGAAGTGCCGGCGAAGAAATGGATGGCGGAAGTGGCGAGGTCTGAAAGTTTGTTGATTTTGTTGATTTGCCGGTAACAAGAGAGAGCGTGCACAGCTGGCGTCCATTGTTACATCACCTGGCTTCCCAGATGGGCCCCACCGGCCACCTTTTCTTTTCCCCTAATAATTTATCCAGTGGTCTTATTTTTCTTTTCTTTTTTTATCCTATCAAAAATCTATATATTTTTAAATTTTTATGACAAGTTGAAAAGTAGTATCACATAAATTGAGATAACTAGGGTAAGTTTTTCAATTTCAATATTATAGATAATAACTTTAAGATTATAAGATTTAAAAGACTATATATATTTTTAATTTAAAATTAAAAAATTCAAATATCTCTAAATTTCGTCGTCAATCAAATTGAGACACTTTTAGAATGACACGAAGAATATAGGTAAAGTTCTTAATTGAGCTTTGTATTTTGGATCATTCATGCGAATATTTCTATTGTCAGGTGTTTTTGTATTTTTTACTCTAAAATTTAACGGTCTTAAATTTTATACAATTCAACACTTTAAGTAAAAAACAATTAATTGACAATACGTTTAATATTGAAATAACAAATTAAATAACTTTTTCATTTGGTATAAATTTATATGTTTACATCATAATATATCACAAGTATATTTTAAGAGACATACCAAGTTATTATGTTATAAAAGACATAACTTAATTTTTATAAAATTTATATTGAGTGAGGGGAAATAACTCAATTTCAGAATTCATAAATTAGAAGGCATAATTTAATTTATACAAAATTTATGATGAGGGCGGTGGACAAAAGATTTCTAAACCTATATAAAAGGAGGTATGTGGGTGCATTCATGCCCAAGGAGGTATGTACTCATTTTATGTTCCATTAAAATATGTTAATACTAGATTATCTAATATTAGATGTAAGATTATTCTAATTGCTTCCGTTGTAGATCCTTTTTAATAAAGAGGAATTGAGATTTTTTACCTATCCTAATTACAATATAGATAAGGATTTCTCATAATAAGGACATTGAACATACAATTAAAATAAATTATAAAGGACTGTCAAATAGAGACGCTTCCATCTTTGTGATCAAATAATGGAACATCGATTCTAAAGGAGAATGAAAATTCAACATTTAAAAAAAAAATATATTACTTATTTTAATAGTAACTACTTTTTGTAAAGCAAAGCAAATGTTTTATTGGACTTCCTATTGTCTGTGCAAATTGCAAGGAAGACTTATTCAATGGATGCAGCTTTAAGCCTCCAATCTATACCTTATGTGGTCAAATATTACTCCATTGATCTGTTTCAATTTACACGACTTGATTCGGAGGATGAGAGTCAATTTGATTATTTTTGTAAAATATTTACTTTTTAAAAATAAATTTTAGATATTTAAAAATGGTATAAAAAGTATTAGTACAAGTTACAATAGTTAGTAATTCAAAATATTTAAGGAAAAAAATTGAAACGAATGAAATATATAGTTATTTAGGAATTTTTATGCATGAGTGATTTATGCGCCGATTAATAATGAATAGATTATTATTAATTTGAATAATATATTTTAATTATGTTAAAGTGTGTGATCATCTCATTTAGAAGTTTAAGTGGTTAGGGAAAATACACTTTTTATTATTTAATTATATCCTCAACAAATTAGGTATTTTTGGCTTCAAGTAATTTAGTCTATGTGTAGTTAATTTTTCTTTTCTCCACACTTTATCTCTTTCAATAACAACATATTTAGCCTCATTTTCCAGGTGAAATTTGAAGAATGTGGTGTATACACAACGTTCTTCTTATCTTATGAAAATATAGATAAATTATTTCCAATATACCGCCTGGTAATCATATCAAAATACTATACAAATTGAACTTAATTTTCTTAACTTTCAATATGTGTATTATTAATACCGTAAATCAAAGCGACATGGATTGTGCATCGATTATTTGAATACAATATATTCTATACTATATTTTATGATGATAATTGATATCAATTGTTTATGTACCTTCCACCAAACGATTCCAATATAGGAATATCGTTTTCTTTGAAAAGAATATAATATGTGTAAGTGGTCAGAGATATGGGACGTAGACATTAAACCCCAATTGTGAAGCAAACACTAGTGTAAGACATAAAATTATTTACTGAATTTACTAGTATTCTTAATTTTTTTTTTATTTTTTTTTTCGAAGCAATGCATGATAAATATAATTCATTGCTAAATAGTTTTAAGTTAATCAATTTTTTTTATATATAATTCATTGCTATTTACAGTTAAATGGAATTAACATAAAATTTTTGTTATTTATATAATTTTATTCATCGTTAATTTTTCTATATTGAGAACTATTCGAGTATACTATAGTTAAAAGCCATGAGCCCAGTTGGCCAGTTGCCTATCCACTGTCTCCAACTCATATATATATAAAATATTCCAATGTATCCAGCTCATATTTCCTCTCTTTTAAAGAATCTTATCTAAAGATTCTTGAATGTTTATTTAATCATTTCCTATTGAGTACCATTTTCTTTATGCTTAATATTTAATCGTAAATTAGAATATTTTATTTAGATATTTGAATTAGATCATGTTTTAATTGACTATCTTAATTTCAAACAAATATTTTAATTACATATTTTTGATTAATTATTTATTGTGTGTTTTCGTTCACGTATTAAATAGTTAAATTAATCACATAAAATATATCATTTCTTTTATCTTTCTTTTCGGTAAAGACATTTTCCGATTGGTTATAAGAGTTTCTTTACTACTTCATGCTTCTTTTCTTTTTGGTCAATGATAGGATATTTCATTTGATTTAACCTTTATCGGGAAGTACAAAATCACTGCAATTATTATTATAATATACTTTTGGTAAGAAATTCATCTCTACGTTATCATACAAAGAATTGTTTGAATTGAGAAATTCATCTATGTTCATAAAATATATTAATATGAATAACAATTAAACATAAACTATTTGATACTTCTCACCTTTGCAATAAGAGGAGTCAATGTCAGACAGAGAATAAAAGAAAAAAAACATATATATGAAGATCCAAGTGTAATTCCAACTATACATTTTTTTAACTCTACATTGTGTTACAAAGTCATTAATACACAGGGAAGCAATTGTAGATATATTTCAACCTTCATATTATAGCAACTAGCAAATATATGTCTTATACATCGACTTATTTTTTTAACTTGATCTTAATTGACTTTTAATTTTTATATGCATAAATAAACATACATGTCCTACATGACATAATACAAATAAATACTAGTATATCTCATGCGAATGATCATATGAAATGCATGTTTAAAATTATGCACATCGAAAATTAAAAAACCATCAGTTGAAGTTAAATTAAATGGTTCGATTTCGAATCAATGATTCGATTGGGAATGATTATTGTAGAATTTAGTTAAGAAACGGCGGGTCGGCGAAAAATGGAACTCTTTAAAATTTAATCACTAAAATAAATACTACTCCTACTGTGCGGGGCGAGGCCACTATAAAAATGGTCATTTTTCCCTGAAGGATTCATCATTTTTCTCTTTTCTTCTTCTTCTTCCGTGTTTTGTGCTGTTCATCCAAAGGAGGATCCGATCTCTCTGTCAGGTCTCGTTCATCAATTTCATCAATGTTTTTTGTTAAGCATAATTAGATCAAAAAAATTTTCTGTTGTATGTGTTATGGATCTCAGAAATTTTGAATTACAGGAGTCGCTATGGCTTCCAAGCGGATCTTGAAGGAGCTCAAAGATCTTCAAAAGGATCCTCCTACTTCTTGTAGTGCTGGTAAAAAACTCAATTCTCTTGCTACATTTTTTTTTTGTGCATTTATACATCCACGCAATTTAATTTGTTTTCCACTTGCTTTTGTTTGAAATTTTGTTTGCCAAACAAATCTGTTACAGTATTTGAATTGTTGGATGTATGATCTGATCGTCAAATCTGTTATTTGAATTGTTGGATGTATGATCTGATCGTTGAGGAGATCATTATTGAGATTTGGCTGTAGACCATTTTTTAATCTCGTGGTCTGAAAACGTAGTTCATTTTGTTACCGCTGATCTGGCTGCCACAAATTCTTATATTTTTTTGCATCAATGTTTTGTTTTTGGCGTTATTCCGGTTTGTTAGTTTGATTCATTAACTCTAAACATGTCAATGGCCGAGTATTTTGTCACTTAAATGGAAGTTATGATATACGTTCTGGTTTTCGTGTGTCATTTGTACGACTGCGATTGCTTAGTAGGCTTGGCAGTGACATAATTGAATTGGATGTCAAGGGGACAGGAAAGTTTACGCGAGATGTGGTGCTAGAATGCACAACTCTCTGTTTGGCATTGTTCGTACCGGGACCTTTATATGTGAAACTGCAATAATGTTATACAGATGCATTCTTGTGTATTCCTTTGTATGTGCTAGCCTATAAACGAGCCATCCTCCTCCTTCCCCTGCCAGTTAATTTAGTGGTTTCTTCTTCTCTTGAATACTTCCGATGAAACAAGTAGTCAAAGCCGATTTGGTTAGAACTAAGAACTTTTGCTTTTTGATATAAATGGTTGTGGCTTAAAATCAGATTTTTCTTTTAATAATAAAGACGTTGTGATAATTTTTTCTGTTCTCTGTATCAAAATATGCTTATGTCTTGTACTTCCTGATAAGAAAAAACTAGTAATTCAGTCAAGCAGGTTCTTTCCTTTGTTTATCAGTGTTTGGATTTATATGAAGCATCCAGACCAAACCCTATTAGCCACTTATCTTAAAACCTCTCTAAAGGATAGTTTTGTTGGGCTTGTCATTTGTATTTTGTTTTACTTACCTGCCTAAAACTGGATTTCTCAGGACCTGTTGCTGAGGACATGTTTCATTGGCAAGCAACGATCATGGGTCCTCCAGACAGTCCTTATTCTGGTGGAGTTTTCCTGGTGACAATCCATTTTCCTCCAGATTATCCATTCAAGCCACCTAAGGTGCATTGTGAGCTCTTGTCGTTCCTTAAATATCGCATTGATAATAGCTGTTGATACACATGACATCATAGATTAGTTAT